GGTCCTTGTTTCTCCTACGTTGGAAAATGGTGCAGTTCAAACTTTAGAGCACTCAGTTTTTAGCCCTGATGTGTAGAAAACGAAATGCAGCCTCTTAATGATTTCTAAAAGCAGCTGAATTTAATCTGGCTCAGGCAGAACTAAAACTTCACCTCCCAGTTTCCCCACATGCCAGAGTGGCATGGTGACATGTGACTGTCCAGACCAGCCCTGCAGATGTGTCTGTCATCAGGAATGGCGGTTTCCTGCCAGGATACAGTAATGTGCTTCCCACTGCCGCCGACAGCAGGGGCCCCAGACCCACTGGCTCCAGGGGGTAATTTTTAAACTTTTTTTTTTTTCAATTTAAAATTAAAATCAAAGCCCCATCTGTTACATGAATCTGCCATGCCAGGGAATTGAGTGTGATCGATGGCCTGGATCTTGTTTAGACCACTTAGTGACGGAGTCCCACACCATCCCCTGTGAGTCTTGCATAGCTTTGATCAAGAGCTTAGCATTTGTGCTTGGGGAGGTAGGGGTTGCAGTGGGGGCAGGGGCTTTGAGGTGTGAATGTTTCCATTTCCTATTCATTGCACATTCATATTTGGCCGGATCCTGGATGGAACCATTGTATGATGTCTCCGAAATGGTATTTGCCTCCCAAAGAACAAGCCCTGCTAAGCCAAGCTCCTTCAGGACCAAACCCCAGGCAACTAGGCGCTTAATCATTATTGACGTGCATAAGTCAGAGGTGTTTTGGAGTAGGAAAAAGACTCTAGGGACAGAATATATGTGTTCATCTCCACATGTTGAGCTGGATGAAGTGACAGCCAAGAGAATCTCATGGGCTCTCACGGGAAGTTGTGCAAATAGTTCAGGGATCTACTGGTGCGGGCTCCGTTCCCTCAGCCAGCCACAATTCAGTGTCTCTAAGCTGTACTGCCGCCATGACCCAGCCCGACAGATAACCAAGGCCAAGCACCTCCAAGCTCGAATGGGTTCTGGTGGTGGCTTGCGGTTTGCTCAGAGGCCCAGACGTGCTGGAAATGTGCATGTGCCCAGATCCTAAAGAGGACATCTTGCCTAAAATTCATTAGAAAAACCTTTGATATTCTAGAAATCATTAGAAAAATCTATGATATTCAAGTTGCTCCCCTGAACAACATATTTCTAATCAATTCAGGCAGATACTAAGAATTGTTGAACATCACTTTTTCCCAGATACTTTGAGTTCTGATGTTAAAGTGTGCTGTTGCTCATACTTAATCACCACTCGACCAATTAATTACATTTGCCAAGGCCGTCAATAAGTTTAAGCCTTATGTCTGAGACGAAGACTTTGTTCTCTGTGTACTGAGTTAGAGTTTTCTCCATGTATTAGAAAATTCCAAATAACCTTGCAACAATAGCTAAAGACATCTGGAGACTGTGCTTTAGTTGCCTCTAATTTACTGCACAGCCCTTTGCCCATTGACAACCACCTTTAAGTTTGGCTAACACTAAAATTTATATCAATCGTTCTGATACTGTTTTGAAAAACCTTCATTTATTTCCAGATGTTCGGTAGGGACTTAGTGATTTTACCTATGAGAAAAAGAATGTAACCTCCATTTTCTAGGTGCTTCGAAATTTATGAACAGTTCCATAACGTTACGTCATTTTTTATATGCCAGTAACACAGAGGTAGGCAAACAGGAATTATCCGCACGTAACAGATGTGGAAACTGAGGCTTGCCCCAAATGGCTAAGCTGGAAGGGAAGTGGTACAATCAGGACTTGAGCCTCAGCTCCTGCTTCTAATGCCCACAGTATTTCTATTACCCCATCCTCACTTCACCCTTGACCTTGGCCAAGAATGAGAGCAGATGTGCACGACAGGAGAGGAAGCGTGGTTGGATTAGGATAGACCCATCCATGCTCTCAGAAAGAAAATAACTCAAAATGCATGTGTGGTGATGATGGGACCATAGCACATCTTCAAATACAAAAGAGAGTACATTTAATGCAGAAATTATGTTTTGATACCTGCCCAAAGCGCTCTTGAACTTTGGAATGTTAACATGTTAGTGAAAGTAAAGCAGCAAAGAATAGTACATTCTAGAATTACAAGAGAGAAATGCATGGCTGGGGAAGAGAGGAGGGGAAAGAAGATATGGCAAGGCCCAGGGGTTCCACCCCCACCCCTGTCCTCTGCCCCCCTTCACCAGCCCATGTCAAGTCAGAAGCCTTCCTTAGGAACTCTTGGTAGTCTCTAAACACAGCTTGCAGTTTGCTTTCTTGATGCCTTTGGGTAAGCTCTTTTGAAAATCAACACAACGTATCTTTTCCTGTAAATTCTACTCATCTATTTAATTTCAGGTCAAGTGGCACCTTTTCAAGGAAGCTACTCATAAGCATTTCACAGGAACACAAGTCTGTTCCTCCTCTCACATTCAGACCCTTCCTTTTGCCGTACTAGATGGTGAGAGCTTGGAGGGTGGAGACCAACTCATTGCTTGGTGAAGGAGACATGGTCCAGGGCAGAGGTCAGCAAACTGCGGCTCGCGAGCCACATGCGGCTCTTTGGGTTAGTTCTGTCTCAAAAGTTTGCCGACCCCTGGAAGAGCCAGTCCTGCCCCTCACAATAATTTAAAAATTATTGGAGAGCCATAAATATATTTTTACAAATAAGGAAAAATTGAAAGTAATATTATAAATGAAACTATGATAGTTTTATTTTCAGTTTCAGTTTTACTTCAGAGCCACATGTACATACCCAAATTGCTGCATGTGGCTCGCGAGCCGCAGTTTGCTGACCCCTGGCGGCTCTTCCATCTCAAAAGTTTGCCGACCCCTGGTCTAGGGGAAGGGCATTGGCTGGAAGGTCAGACAGCCCTGGGACAGCCCGGACTCTTGTCAGTCAACAGCCCCAGGACCTCGAGTCTCAGTGAGGCTTCCCAGACACCCACATGTGGCAGAGAAGCAAGCATACTGAGTCATCTCTGGATGTAGTTTTACAAAATAAGAACATGAATTAATTTATTTTTATTATCTACTCTTGATCACAACTGTTGCTTGGATATAAAATATTGAACAAGTCTCCCTTTGAGATGTACAACAAATACATATAAAAAGTCATGAGAGAAAATGACCTCAGTTCTTGAAACTTGTAAACATCTCAGCAATCTTGCCCTCGCAGGGAAATCCTTAATTCTTTCTTAAACTTGAAGCAGAACTGTTAGCCATGTGTGTTCTCTTTGTTTGAAGTTGGTTTTGTTTGTTTGTTTGTTTTGAGTCAAGGATCTTTTTCCAGGTCCAGCTATGTCCTTAATGAAATTAATATTTCTCAAGAAACAGTTTCATGCCAAAGGTTGGGTTGTCTGGGTTTATGTGTTGTTCCTGAAGTGCTTCTGCATGAGGAGAATTTTAGGAAGGGACAACCATAATTCTACCCTATCCAGTGGTGCATGGTCTTTTCTGGCATTACACTTTCTTTGTGCAGTTCTAGGAGAGATTGTGTGTGTGTGTGTGTGTGTGTGTGTGTGTGTGTGTGTGTGTACACGCACTCACTTAATGCTTGCACACATACATGCACCTTTGACTGCTTTAAGTAGGGGGATGAAAGAAAGCCTTTGAGCGTTCACACTGGTGCCTGAGTGCTTTTCCTTAGTTTCGTATGTTGAAGAAGGAAACAAAATAGAGTACAACTCTCCCCATCTGTGGTCCAGGCAAGTGACTGTTGCCTTGTGTGACTGTCCTGAGAGTGTCCCTCCAGTCCTGGGGCCAGCTGACCTGCATTTCACAGCTGTTGACATTCAAGGAGCCCCAGAATTTCCACCATCTGCTAGGTGAATCCTCAGGGAGCATATTTCTATAAAATGTGCATGCAGAACATGAAGCCATCTCTCCTAAAGCTTTCGTCTGTAGACCTTCAAAATAACTCTGCTTCTAAATGCAAATGGAGGCCTGAGACCATGAAATGCGTGGAAAGCTCAGTCACCCCTAACAAATGGAGATCCAAGATCCCATGTGGGTCCTGTGAGGACTAAAGGAGAGTTTAGAAGTCACGAGGTCGTGGGGCTGACCCAGCTTGGAAGGGGAACGTGGCCTCAGGAAATGGTAACTGCAGATGAGTGTATCAGGGAGCAGAAGAGGTAAAGACAAGCATTGCTAAGGAGCTGCGATAGTTGTAGGAGATGCAGAATGTGATGTGTGCAAACTGCAGTTTCATATTGCCTTCAAATCCAGTGCTGCCACATACCAGCTGTCACTTAACTACTCTGTGCTTCTGTCCCCTCCTCTGTAAGACGGAGATGATAAGTACTTGTACATACAGTAGTGTGTGTGCTTTAGTGAGTTAATGTGTATTGAGTGCTTATAACAGTACCTGGCACTAAGCAAGCGTTATACGACTGTTAGCTATTAATTGTTACTGCTACCAGAACTACACAATGATGATGACGATGCTGAACATCTCCTTCATCATTACTAGAATACTATTCATAAGGACCAGCTCTTGAGTATCGAATTATAATAGTAGCTACTAAATTCAAATGGTACCTCATGGCATCCTCGGTTAGTGGTTGTCTCTATTTTGGATCGCCAGACCTACATGGTTTCCCTCTCTAGTGAGTGAAAAAATACCTGTCTGTAAGAATAACTACTTTATACCTTGAAAGTGTTTTGATGATAACACCCGATGGGTTCAGATAAAACCATTCTTCCAACAGGCCTGCAGCACTCTCAGATGGCTCATTTTTTCTAGTTCCGTACTCTCCTGGGATGCGTTCTACCAACAGTTCAGCGACTGTTTTTGGTCTTGAGTTTAGAATGTTACTTATGTTCTAAAGCATTCGTTGTGTGTGGACGTATTGAGCTCCCATGAAGAATCCTGAGATACATCCCAGGGCCAGTGGTGTGTGGGGGTTGGGCACGCGGTGGACAGACCCGGCAGGTTCTGGTGGCTCTGAGCTGGGAGTGGGGGCATCTAGGTGTGAGCAAACGTTGATGGTGTGTCACATTCCTCGTTTCCTCCTTAGATGACTATGCCCAGCTGTGTAACATCCCCATCACAGGACGCCGGCGGCCGTATGGGCGGGACGCCTTGGTTGACTTCAGTGAACAGTATGCTCCGGAAGCCGACCCCTACTTCATTCAGGACCGTAAGCAAAATGTTTCAGTTACTACAAAACTAAATTGAGTCCGTGGTTCTCAAAATGTCATCCCTGGAAACTCGTTGGAAGTGCAGATTTTCAGGCTGCACTCTAGACCAGCTGGGATGAGACCCAGTGGTCTGTTTTACTGGCCCTTGGAGGAATCCTTAGGTGTCTCAAGTTTGAAAGCCCTGGGATCGGATTATTAGAGTCACTGGTAGAGATGCTGTTATGTTCACTATCTTTAAAGTAAATTATTGTTATAATTTCCATAACAAAATATCACCTTTTTACCCATTTAATGGGTACATGGGTTTGAGGTCCAGGGTTTTCTTGAAGGCCTGGTTAGAATTGTAGTCTTTTTTCCTTACTAGGAAGTGAACAAAGGTTAACCGTACCAAGTTGATTTTTACAAGTACTTTAGAGTGAAAAGTAAAAAAAAAAAAATGCTCTGTCAGAAATTAATTTTTAGAATCCACTAGTGAGGGGCTTTATTGTGTGTGCCAGCTTTTCCTGGATTTGCAAGCAGAGTTTTCTTGTGGAGGTGGAGTGTGCATGTCATTTAGAAAGTAAATAACTGTGTGATGGTGTACAGCCAAGCAGCCTGGATGAGGAAGCCACGCAAGCTAAATGCTTCTGTGGGGGAAACTAGAGCCTTCATCACATATAGACTGATTATTTTAAGTCTGAAAAACAGGACCGTACAAAATGAAATATTAGTAGATAATAGGTTGTATTCCTTCAAGAACCGAAATAGGGAAACACAGATCCCAGCTGCCTCGTCCACATTACTTATAAAGGGCCCCCCCATCATAGCACAAAGTCCTCTGCACCAGATTTTCAAGACACGGAATCCCTGTGGACCAGGGAGTCAAGGTGAGGACTTCAGAGATGCGGCTGAATTACAAACTACAATGAAGTTTTTTCCTTTCTTGGGCCCCGACACCTGTGCACTGACACACTAGCCATGACCTAGAACCCGAGGAGCAATGCCAGCTTTGTGGTTGCCTTTGGATCTACTTCAATTCTGAGTGAAAAAGTTTTATCTTCCTTCCCTCTCCTTTTCACCTTTCCCTCCCTTACTGTCTTCTTCCCTCCCTTTCTTCCTTTGGTTTTTTTGAAGGGTGCAGTATATTGCTCACCCAGCAGAACTAAGATGCTTTACAACTTACATGAAAACAGCATTCCGTTCATTCAGCTTGGCTGATTGACACATACACCATGTGACCCCACACCCAGGTCTAGAGCATGCCAGCATCCAGAGGCCCCGCTGGCCTTGCCCAGGCCCCCATCCCAGGGGAACCACTGTCCTGACTTCTAACCCCTCAGATTATTTCTTGTAATCAACAAGGCGTGGCCATGCACAACTTCAGGAAATGTGCCTAAATGTACTGACAGCTGTAAGACTGTGCACTCATGATTTCTACACTTCTCTGTGAATATGTTATACATCGACAAATATGTACCTGGAAAAAGGAGAGAGACAAAGGAAAAGAAAGGAAGAAATATTAATGTTGAAAGAAATCCAAAATACCAGGTTAAGTCTGTATGCCACTCTGACACGGCCCCATAGCTTATGTCTGCAGCCTCTATCACAGTATAGTTTAGATTCCAGGAATTTTAATGATGAAATGTTCTGGCTTATACCTTTTTTTTTTTTTTTAATGCTGACATTGCCTTACACCTTTTTTTTTAATTCATTACAAATGTTAAGAAAGAAAAATGTTGGTGTCACATCAGTTTCCTAGTTGGCAACATAGGAAGTTGAGATGCAGTTCCAACCTCCAGCTTTGACTCTGTAATGGCCTTTACACTTCATACAAGTTACAAGCAATAGCCCCTCCTTCCCAACCAGCAGCAAGAGCCTTATGGCCCTGCCAATGAGACGATCGTATCGGGTAGACAGGAACATAGAGGGGAGGCTAAGTTTTCTAATCACCTTTATGATCCACCATCTCTTGCTTTCTGGTTGTTGAAGAATGTTGAGCTGATAGCTGGTGGTACCTTCAGTTAAGGAAGTAGTTATAAAACTAGAATCTCCTAGAGCAGAGATCAACTTTTTCTCATAAAGGACCAGATGATAAATTTTTTTAGACTTTGCAACCATACTGTATCTGTTGCAGTTCCCGAGTCTGCTGTGGTCTCATGAAAACAGCCATAGACAATGCATGAGCGAATGGCAGTGGCTGTGCTCCAACAGAACTTTTATTTACAAAAATAAGGCAGCAGGCCAGGTTTGGAGCAGGGGCTGCCCTGTGCTGACCCATTCTTAGAGTCCTGTATATTTTGGGGAGTCTCCTTGATGTCTGTGTAGGAATTTCAAATTGAATGTCATGTTTTAATTTCTGTAATAAAAAAGAATTTTACTACTAGTCACGAAGTCGAAATCATTTTGCTGTGACACCTGGAATTTGAAAATATTTTCATAGATGAAGACTTTATTTTCTTAAGTCAGTATTTTTCAAACTGGCTGTTGGGATCTGCTGACATAGTCTTGATGAGCTTTAATATTTTTTCTCCCTTAAAATTTTTAAAACGACCTGTCCTGGGTGTACTACTGAAATTTTTAAATCCCTGAGTTAGACCTTACAGCAATGATATTTTGCTGCCCCCTGCAGTTCCACTGGAGAATTACTTCAAAGGCTAGAGAACGTTCTGGCCACATTTTTATTATTTTTTTAATTTTATTTTTTTTAAGCCCATACGTGGTGAGATTCAGAAAGAAGGTGGAAGAGGGATGAGAGGCCACATCAACAGCGTGTTTGGGTCACTGTGGCTTTATATTTACAAGTTTCTTCTCTCGAAAGAAAGCTGAACACTCTTGATGCCTGGTTAAATTGTTTCTATAATACTAAACTAGAGCTCTGAATCAGTTTGAAGATATCTAAACTATACAAAGCGCCAAACAAGAGCTTCTTTGTTTCCATACAAAAAGACTTTTGGTTTTCTAAACACAAGTATGATGTACTTTTCTCATTTATCAGGATGTTTTGAGTCCCTTTTACTGCCTTTATCCTTTGATCCCCCAAGAGCCCTTTTGTCAGGCTCAGTCGAAAGCCAGAGCAAACAAACAGACTTGACAGAGCAGGGCCGGAGGTCTTTCCACTCTCCTGGGAACTGCAAGGGGGAAAAAGCACTGCCTCAGGCTCTCCTGGGTCTTCTGAGCAAATGTCTCCTGAACTCTGATAAATTCACTGTTGGTTCCATCCTGAAAGATGTTCCGACATTTGGAATTTTAGATAAAAATTTTAGAAACTAAAGGCAAAAAAACATATTTGCTTTATCATTTTAAGTGACTTTAATCTAGAACATCAGAATTCAAGCTATGGGGCTAATCTGTACAACATATGTAAAGTTTTAATACCTGTGTAATGCTTCATATTGTGCTGCGGATATACTTGGTATTAACTTCAATTTCAGTGCTAACTTGAAGGGGTCTGAAGTGCATCCATCTGATGCACCATAAGCTTAATAATCATATAGTTGTATAAAATGGTATAAGAGGGTGAAATTTTCTCACTTGGCTTCTTCCCTTTCCTTTCCAGGTTTTTTAAATAGCTTTGAGGAGTTGCAGGCTGAGGAATGTGGCATCCTCAACGGATGTGAAAACGGCCGCTGTGTGAGGGTGCAGGAAGGTTACACCTGCGACTGCTTTGATGGGTATCACTTGGATATGGCAAAGATGACCTGTGTTGGTAAGAATTACTTGTGTCTTATGGGAAATATGTCTTTCCCTGAGATGCCCTGGGGTCAGATCTCATACAATCGAGTCCATTTAAGGCAGATTTGCAGTTTCAGTTTGACAAGATGAGGAAAGTTCTAAAGATGGATGGTGGTGATGTGATGGTTGCACAACAAGGTGAATGTACTTAATGTCACTGGACTAGCCACATAAACGTAGTTAAAATGGTCAAATTTATGTTCTGTATACTGTATCACAAGTTTTTAAAAAGATAGAGCTGATATCTCATTTAAGAATTCACACAATGGTACATATAGAGGAAAGGCCAGAATGTTCCAGGCAATTACTTTGACTCTTTTAAATTTCGTTTTTTGACTACGCGACAAGCAGTGTTTTCCCTGAATACCTGACACAAGCGTAAGGGAATATAGATGCCTAATAACAATGCAACTTCCATGGTAATCATTTCAGAAAAAGTTCCTCCTAAAACTCTCTCTCGGGGCCTTCCCTCTTATTTTTAAAAAACAGTAACTGTACATTTATTCTTCTCTGTGTGATCATGGAATGATCCTCCAGGTTGTCGTCCAGGGCTTGTTGGCCTCTATACGAAAAAGCCCTTAACTGAAAGTGGGTTTTTTTCCTATTTTTTGTGGCTCTTCTCTCTCCGGGAGCAGTCCCTTTCCCCATTTCAGCTTTGTTAGTCTCAATCTGTGGTCTGTCTGGAAAATAGGTAACCTGAGTTATTACAGGTGTTTCAAGTGCATACGAGTCTTTCTTTCCTGTGGAAACAAACCTGAGACGGTAACTGAAAGCTTAAGAGGGGCTGATCAGAGGGTTCTCTCCTCACTGGTTTGGTTCTTAACTGTATTTCTCTTGACAAACCTAACCGTTCTCCTATACCTGTGGAAAGGAATGTAGAAGGAGAATAGTCCTTCCAACTTTCTTGAGGTTTGACTGTAAAATGTCAGGCCGACAAATTATTCCCATTGTGTTAAATAATAGGGAAAGAAATTCTAGAACCTCTCTGATTGTCTACCTTTGTAAGATATAGAGCAGCGGTTCTCAACCTGTGGGTCGCGACCCCTTTGGGGGTCGAACGACCCTTTCACAGGGGTCGCCTAAGACCATCGGAAAACAAAAAGATATTTACATTACAATTCATAACAGTAGCAAAATTACAGTTATAGAGTAGCAACGAAAATAATTTTATGGTTGGGGGTCACCACAACATGAGGAACTGTATTAAGGGGTCGCGGCATTAGGAAGGTTGAGAACCGCTGATCTAGAAAGTCTTACTTACCTTGCATGTGATTGAAACAGACATTAATGGGAAAGATTGTACAGTTTCCTTGGGGGAGAGCTGACAACAGCTAGGCTGTGTTCCGGCCAGATGCCATGGTGCCTCAGGTAAGGTGTGGGTTCCCTTTCCTCACAGAATATATAAATGCTTGTTTACCTGCGTGCTTTGGCTTATTGCAGATGTAAACGAATGTGATGAGCTGAACAACCGGATGTCTCTTTGCAAGAACGCCAAGTGCATCAACACGGAAGGTTCCTACAAGTGCTTGTGTCTGCCAGGTTATGTACCTTCTGACAAGCCAAACTACTGCACCCCGTTGAATACTGCCTTGAATTTAGAAAAAGACAGCGACCTGGAGTAAAAGAGAATCCACATAACCTAAGCCCATATCCTCTGCACTGTGTAAAGGAAAAGAGAGAAATGTATTATACTTGAGACATTGCACCTAACCCGGAATGTTGGAAATACGGAAACATCGTGGAGTTGCATATCCTCGGAAGAGAACGAAAGGAGTCAGTGGGAGCCTGACTGGTGTGACAGACCAAATGGACATTTCTCTGAAAAACCAGTATATATAGTCTGTTCATATGTAAAATTCAGCAGAAAAGAGGCAGAACAGTGCTGTTATTTTAAACTATTGCTTGATTAAATTTGGCATTTAAATAGTGGTGGAAATATTTTATATAATTTTCATTTTTTGGTTGTGCAGTTCCTTGGCTACTGTTTTTCTTCAGATTTTTTTTTTTAATCTCAAGTGCACAAGTCTTTGATAAAATATTGTTTAACTGTATTGTAAGTATTGTTACACAGGGTTATGCTATTCCTGGTCTGGAACATTTTAAAAATCCAACTTGTCTGTCCTGTGGAGCAGGCAGTGATTTTGCTTCCAAACTTTTATACACATTTGGAGAAAAGTACTTTATATTTACAGTGTATTGTCAGATTTTAATGTCCATTCTTAGCCAAGCTGCTAGTAGGTGTCAGTTGAATCTCTTTCCTACATTGAAATGAAAGAACCAGTGAAATTATGTTAGTATTGTAATGTATAAAGTAAACCCAGCAAAATTTTTTGAAAACTTGATGGTCCCAATATATTTACCATTGTATGTTAAAACAAGGTCACCATTTTTTTTAGAAAATTTTTCTACCTGACTTCCAAACTGTATTTGGCCGTTTATCTCCCTGAACCACAGAGTTGAGCCATGTTTGATGTGACTTTAAGTCTGTAACTTCATTCCATGTCACTTTTCTCTTTCTTACCCCTCCACCCCACATTGCTCCCCCAAAACTCCACCAGCACGTCCCCATGATTGGGTCTTTGTAGACGTATCTACCTACACTGCTATTTTTCTCCCCACTTCCCCGCATCCCTTTGCTCACCGGACTGACCCCTTTTCATCCTTCAGGTATGTTGTCACTTTAGGGAAGCCTTCCCACACTAGGTAGGTTTTACATTTTCCTTGCATACTGGACTTTTCCATTATAGCATTTGTAATAGTTATTAATGTCTGTCTGCCCATTAGAACGCATGTTTCATGAGGACTGTGTCTGTCTAATTCATTTTTGTATTCAACCCCACTTTCATTCCCACCCCACCCCCATTTATTACAATCCTGTGTACATGGTAGGTACTCAATAAACATTTGGTGAATAAAAAAAATTCTACCTGACAGTAATTGTCAATGAGTACATGTGTACAAGTTGCATCTCCCCCCACCTTTATTTTTACCAGTGGTTCTCTGTTAATGTAGAGTCTTTTGCAGGCTCATTATTAAATTTGTTAGATACTGTAAAGGACTGATTTGTGTCCGCTCAAAATTCATATGTTGAAGACCTAATCCCACACTGCCTCCGAATGTGACTATATTTGGAGAGAGGGTCTTTAAAGGGGTAATTAAGGTTAAATGGGGTCATTGGTGGTGAGCCCTAATCCAATATGATTGGTGTCCTTATAAGAAGAGATTAGGACACAGACACATAGAGGAAAGACCATGTTGAAGACACAGGGAGAAGACGACCATCTACAAGCCAAGGTGAGAGGCTTCAGAAGAAATCAACCCTGCCAACACCTTGATCTTGAACTTCTAACCTCCAGAACTGTAAGAAAATAAATTTGTTGTTTAAGTCACCCAATATGTAATACTTGGTTATGGCAGCCCTAGCAAACTAACATAGGTACTTATCTCAGGAAGAATGAATAGTAACTTTCAAAGTTCCACATCCACAGTCATGCAGTTGTTTTATAACTTAAACTGAATTCCAGAGTCCATTTTTGACTTCATAAAGGCATCTGATTAAAAACCAAACAAGCAAACAAAAAACTATGTATGTATAGGCACACCCAGCAGAAGATCTTCAAGTTGAACATTTTCCTGAAAGAGGTTTTTGGGTTTTCACACCTGCAATAGACAGAATAATGGCCCATCAAAGACATTCATGTCCTATGAATATGTTACTGTGTGTGGCAAGTGGGAGTCACGGTTACAAATAGAATGACGGTTGCTAATGAGCTACACATTAAATTTGTGGTCGTTTATTGCAGCAGCAATAGAAAGCTAAAATAATACCCAAGTGTCATAAAACGTACCTATCTCACGCACAACATTTTTTCAACTAATGTTTGTACTTAGGAGAAACTTATAGCCTCAAAATACTGTGTTGGCAAAGTCTTGAGTAACATTCCAAAACATAAGAGTTGGAGGTACACAGATGTTTGAAAAGCATAACGATTCTTAACAAAGTGGATGAAAACCGAGATATCGCTGGCACTGAGATTGGGCCCACTGTGTCATAATCAGTGTGACCAGACACCAGCTCACATACTTACCTGAATGCAGTTCCACGGTGCTTTCAATGTCTGTGTAGCCTATATTTTTACTTAGTGGTGTGTGAGTCTCCCCAATACCAAAAAAATTGAGCAAGTGTCAAAAACAGTGAAAATCTATGTGAGTGCATGAGTGAGAAGAGCAGTAAGAATGGAAGAGAAGATATTCCTGCACACAAAGCAACTTTGTGAAACCTCATTGATGATCAGAAAGAGATGTTTTAAGCATCTTACAGTCCAATGTGGTTTTACTGTGTTTCAGTTGTATTTTTAGGAAATTGGTTGGGGGACTTTGGTTGAGGTGTATCATAAATTCTGTTAGCATTTTCCCACAGAACATTTAATTTTTACAGGTTACTAACATTAAGCAGGAGATGTCTGCATATATATAATGATAATACATAGCTTTTAAGTACAACTGCTTACATTTTTGCAATAAGTTTCATTGCATAAATTTTGCTTCATAGCCCTGGAAAAAAACATTTTGTTTCTGTAATATGATTCTTTTAGTTCTTTTCAGTAGTTACTGCTATTTTACTTTCAATGCCCAGTTGTCCTCCAAAATGCGGGTTTGGGATTCTGTGGCAGTGGTCCTAATTCATTGGCCATGGAGAGACACGCTCCTGTTATAGGCATTCTAGTCATTCATTATAATATATATATATATATATATATATATATATATATATATATATATATATATATATATATATATAAAATCCATTATGCTAACACGTGTATTGTCCAGCTGCCTAAGAATCAGGTCTGTCTCTGTCCATCCACAGAATAGGTCTCCGTACCGTAAAATACCAAAAACGAATAACATTCTATTCTTTTGTCATTAAAATCAAACGTTACTCCAAAAACATTAGACGTGGCTGTCTGATTTAAGCCTATGAAGTTTGATGTAATAATCTTTTTTTTTAATTGAAGTTTATTGGGGTGACAATTATTAGCAAAGTTACATAGATTTAAGGTATACAATTCTGTAATACAATACATCATCTATATATCACATTGTGTGTTCACCACCCAGAGTCAGTTCTCCTTCCATCACCATCTATTTGATCCCCTTTACCCTCTTCTACCACCCTCCTCCCCTATTACCCTCTGGTAACCACTATTGATGTAAAAATCTTGAAATCTGCCATGTTAGCTGAAATCAGCAAATCCAGCAAACCAAACCCTTATTAAATAGATCAGAGTTGTTTTGCACAATTTCATTTATATTTCCCTTTAAAAATGTTTATAGATTCTAAAGAACATCAAAATTTAGCTTCAGTATTCTGACACACAAAGGACTTTCTTACTCTAAAATGTACTTGAGTTCTCCTGGTAAATATTAATGTCCCAATATTGGCAGAAATGACAAATCTGATATGCTTAAGAAATGAGATTCATGAACATTTCATTTGGGTCAACAGTTCCTAGGGATGTCAATACTACATGTCCCTGCTTGTGGGGACAAACTATAATTTTGAATTTAGGAATTGTTCTAATAACTTGGAACATTAAAACACTGTGATTCTAATACTCTCTTCAGCTTTCAAATAAGAATGTTTTGACTCTGTACTACAGCATCTATGACTTACTGCTCAAATCTTGAGGAAGAAGAAGAAACTAAAAATAGCTGTCACAGATCAATAGCGAAGTGATGAGTAATCACAATTACAAGAAAAAAGGTATGAGGGAAGGTATCTGCAGAGTACAGGAATAAATCACAATCCAATAAGACATTAGATACTGCTCAGTGAAAAGAGCTCCTTGATTTAAGATGAAACATTGATAATCACAGGAATGTGAGAGTCCCCTAACCAGCTTTCACCTGTCTTTGAGAGTGGATGATGGCCCTCCCTGGTGGGCAGAAACTCACCTCCTGTGGGACATGACTGCTTCCCTCACCCTTCGCTGCCTCCTCTTCATTACTGTTCTAGACCGGTGTCTTGTCCAATAGAACGCTCTGTGGTGATGGCAAGGTTCTATATGTGAGCTGTCCAGTGTGACAGCTTATTTGTACCAGGCATTGTGCTTGACCCTGGGACTAGAGATGAATAACTTGTAGTGTTTGACCCACAGCTAGTTCAGAAGACAGATATAAACCCAACGAATCGTACATCAGCGAGGTAAGTAATCCTGTGGAAGCTGGAACTCAATGTTGTGAGAACAAGGAGGAACCAGTTGATCCTGGCTTGGGGGGTTGGGGCAGGGGGAGATAGAATGGGGGTGGGGTAAAAGCCCTAGGGAGCAGATGAAATCATTGGACTTGCATGGGTCTTAAACTTCCCTAGGAAAAAGAAAAGAAAGCAATAACAGCCACTTCACCTGTCCCTTGCTATTTGTTACAGAAAGTGCATCTGGTCTTACACAGAGAGCACTGGACATGGCATCTTAGAACACCTACCTGGGCCCAAGTTCCTGGCTCTTCCACAGCCTACTTTAAGACCTCGAAAGTCTCTGTATATCTCTTGTACCAGAGTTCTCGTCAGTCAAGTGAACTCTAAGGTCCCTGCTATGTCAAAAATTGTCTAATTATTTGATTTCCCTTCTCTCAAACTGTTTTCTCTTTCCCAGCCAGATTTCTTAGTCTTGTTAACTATGATCACATAAATGATTCATTGCTTTAGAATGGCTTAACAAAGCCATTAGGGAGCATAGCCAATCTCTGGAAAAATTTCTGCAAAGCAGGGTGTTTCTATGTTCCATAGATGCGTAAGGGTAGGTGGCAACTTCTCCAACAATACATGGGCATTCTGCAAAGTAGAGCTTCAACATTTTGCAAGACTTGACATGAAAAAGATAATTAGATTCTAAATCTACTGGCCTCATGACAAGAAATTTCAACTTTGCATTTGCCAATGTGAAAAAGGAAGAGTTTCTTTAAAAACAATTTTCAATGTCTTAAGTTTCTGAATGATTTTTAGAAGATTTAAAAGTTCAGCCACCTATTTGTGCAAATTTTTCACTGATGGTGACTGTGAAGCATCTTAGAGATGAAATCAAAAGTCATGATCAGGAGGGGTGCCCGGTTAGCTCAGGTGGTTAGAGCGCAAGCTCATGGCGCCAGGGTTGCCGGTTCGATTCCCACATGGGCCAGTGAGCTGTACCCTCCACAACTAGATTGAGGACAACTGCTTGACTTGGAGTTGATGGGTCTTGGAAAAACACACTGTTCCCCAATAAAATTTCTTTAAAAAAAAAAAGTCATGATCAGGAACTGCAAGTGGTCATTTAAAAGAAAATACTTTAAAAAGTTTA